TAGTAGTCCGTATATATATATATACACACTAAATGAACCTCACTAGAGTATAGGGTTGTCTCAACCTGAATAGTAGGCAACATGCAAAACGCACATATAGTGGGCATGAGTACCTAGACCTACCAGGGTACACAACTACATTATATCTAGCTACACATCCCTGGCAATATATGCGCCCTAACCACTGATCTTGAGACTCAAGCTCATATCATGACACCATACTTATATATATAAAATCTAGTAACCATCCTATCCAGTATAAATTAATCCTCCATAAGTCATTCAACTTGTTCAGCTGACCTGACTTGAATATAAGTAGGATTTAACATTTTAGTTAATTCATTCCCTTATATAATAAATTAATCCTTCATAAGTCATTCAACTTGTTCAGCTGACCTGACTTGAATATAAATAGGATTTAACATTTTAGTTAATCCATTCCCTTATATAAAATAGGTAGGACTTAACTGATAAGTTAATCCGTCCCTAGAATGCCACCGTCCCATACCGGTGCATTAAACCACACAATCCAACAATTGATGTAACAATTAAGGAAATACATCAAACAATCCAGAAATAGTTATGATAATATGATATCAAGTTATCACAAAATAGGAATGACTTATTATTTATTTAAGATTCCTATATCATATGTCCTACACAAACTGAATCTTATACATGATGATATTTTATTATACTGTCAAATAAGCATTCTCCATATCCAATTCATCCTACACATTTAATCTTAATTGTTAAAACATTTTAAAAGATTAAATCCATTCGTTTGTTTAAAACATTCAAATAGAAAACATCATTATGATTGAGTCTATTTAAATTTATTTAAACCCAAACCTAGTTCCTATTTAATGTTCAGGAATCCTAGGCATGTTTCTACGTTCCATCATTCCACAGATATGAAAAATACATAATGTAAACATATAAAAATTCACACCGAAAATCACATCAAAATCATGCATTTATCAATTTATAACACAAGAATAGATATGAACCAATTTCATAAAACCTATGTTCTAATCCAATTAAACATGCATAATTATTTAATTTTATGTGTTTAATAAATCCTAGAATTTCCTAGGCATGTATAGAAATACGAATTAAAGGGAAAGAGATAGAAGAAGAACTTGCCTTAAACTTTCGGATCGAAAGTTAAATTTCTTTTTCTTTGATCTTCTCTCTACAGGGTTTTTTTCCTCCTTTCCTCTCTAACTCTCTCTCTAGAATGCATCACGTGAATATTTCTAACCCTCTTTTACAACCTATAACTATATATTTATAGGCTAAATAAAATAACCCTAACCCTTTTCCCAATCCAAGTCAACTTAAAAAAATAAATATTAAAATATTAAAAAGGTAAGTAAAATATGTTACGTATATAATTTATGTACATCTTTATTAAATAAATAAATTATAAACATTCCATTATTTATTAATGGATTATTCAATAATACTTAAGTTACCATAATATTATAAAGTAACTTAAAACATAACACGTATCAAATCTATGTATATTTTTATTATTTAAATATAAAACATATACATCAGATTAAATATTACTACCTAAATTACCATAAAAGTAATTAATAAATTACTTTCCCTTTTATATATATTAAAAAAGTAAGTAAAATATGTTACGTATATAATTTATGTACATCTTTATTAAATAAATAAATTATACACATTCCATTATTTATTAATGGATTATCCAATAATACTTAAGTTACCATAATATTATAAAGTAACTTAAAATATAACACGTATCAAATCTATGTATATTTTTATTATTTAAATATAAAACATATACATCAGATTAAATATTACTACCCAAATTACCATAAAAGTAATTAATAAATTACTTTCCTTTTTATATATGTATGTAATATATATCTATATATATACATACACAATTATCCATGGGTAATAATCCATACACATCCAACCTCCTATCCAAGTAGTTCATGAGACTCAATTGATTGACCCATTACTACTAACCTTAACCATAAAAGAAAAAATAAAATAAAATAATAAAAAAAGAAAACATTTAATTTACAATTAATCAAAACACCATTTAAGTACATAATCTAATTAAACAATCAACACATAGACAAATACAAATAATAAATAGACACATAATCAAATAATCAAGTAATACCTAATTCAATTAAACACATAAACAATTAGTTAAATAATCAATTAAATAATTAAATTTATAATTAAAATAAATAAATAAATACCGAGATTATCCTTTTAAAATTAGGAGTATTACAATAATGAATTTGAAATAAATGCATCTCGCATACATAAAATAAATGTGAATTTAATTCCAACCATGCATTTAAAAGATATAGGTCCTTTAACCACATAGCGTGACTAATGGGCACCTCAAATAATATATCTAGGACGGGGAGTGTACATTATCACTATTAGTGGGCTAAACCCGTTACTTATACTCCTTAGACAAACGCCGTGCCTGAAATAAGTAACTCCCGATTTTGGTCCGCCTTTCTAAAATTACATAATATTCGTAATATTGCCTGGCTAGTTGAAAATTCAAATGCCCACCTCAACAGCCAATTGACCCTTTGAAAAGTCAATAATAATAATAATAAAAAAAAGAAATCCCACGTGGCCAAAGTTCTCAATAAATATAACTAGCTTCCGAGTAGTACACACGAGATCTAACTAAAACCTTGATGCCACCCTGACTCTAAAGAAAATCCTAACATCATGCAATGTCACCAAGCCTTGAAGACGCCACTTTTGTATCCAAAAACTTTGACATCATAATAGCTTTTAGTCATGGTTCGTAATTGTAATGTAATGGATTCAGAAAAATGTCGGTATAAATCGATCGATTTATAGAGGTATGTAACGGTGTTTGATTTTTAAAAAATTATTACAAATCGAACGATATGTCGCGTATTTGTTGATACGGTAAACCGTGCATTGAGTCCAAAAAAAACACTAATATCGTGCCAGACCACCATATCTTGAGGGAGCCATTTTTAAGTCAAAAAGCTCTAATGGCATGACATGTTAGAAAACTTTGAGATAATGACTCGATCCTCTCTCGTGATGCTCATCGCACCTCAAGAGTATCACCCTTACGCTTAAGAGAAGAACTTGCACAACAATAAATTGACATGTGGCACTTTGCAATCTTGGGTTAAAGTTGTGGAGTATGGGACGAGATAAAGAATTAAAGATAAGGAAGTCTCATATACTTACAACAACAATACGAGAATTTTGGATCAGTGGATGAGAAATCAAAATAAATGCCCAATACAAGTGATGGACGTAACCAAAAGAATAACGAACCCGTGACAAATACATTTACCATCACCATTAAAACTTTATGAATGCATTTAATATCTGCATTAGAATCTTAACCCGACACATGAAGGCATGGCTAAAAGAGAGACTTGACCCCTTGGGTGTCTTTAGGTACACCAACTAGGTCAATAACCTCTAAAGTATTACCCAAAAAAATCTAGGACTATAAATATCAATACCAGGGGCAGGCATTAAGGGCAGAGGGAATTCAAGGATCAACTCCCATAACAACAAAGATCTATCACACAAAAAAACATTCCTACCTTACCATAACTTTCATTGACTAGTTTACTTCTCTTCATCCTATCATCTCGTTGGATACCTCACATTTGTGTGTTTGATATCTTCATTTATGTCATCTCATTCAGTGCTTCAATACAGGATCCCCGCAATAATTTTCCTATTGAAACTATATTTGAACATAAGGCCACCACCACTCAGTTGCAAGTTAGTAAAGTGCCTAGTAAGATGGCCCACCACATCATTCACACGTGGAGTACGCATATCATTTCTATACTAAGTTTCTCTCGCCAACATGACTAGAAGTGTAATTCAGGGTCGACCTTAGATATAAAATCTTTAATATTAACTCAATTCAACCTATTTTCAACCCAAGCCGAACTCATTTTTAATTTTTTAAGCTCGGGCTAAATTTGAACTTATAACTCAAGTTGACATTCCATGTTAGATTTTGAGTTGTTATAATAATAAATGAAATAATCTTAATTTTTTTATAACTAAAATAATAGAAGATATTAGCGTGACATAACAAGAAATAAATGAAAAGTTAATAACTTCAATATTTCGTATATTTTACAAGGAAGTGAAGTCACTAAATCGCCAATCACATGCAACCAGCACAAATATAAATATATATACATATATAATATTACAGATATATTTCGAATTCAATGTTTGGGACAGGCTAGAGTTAACCTTTGGATTGCTGACACAATAACCCAAGATCTCTGAAATGAAATCGAGTGTTTACTTTTCTATTTAAATCTGCACCAAATTATAATTCTTCTTACTTTTCTTAATTCTCTCACTTTTCTTAAGAAATGAGAGGTAATACTATTTGAATCAAATAATTGGTGGTGAGTCTTATAAATTCGGAATTTATATTCGTTTGAAGTGGAATTTATTTTTAAGGCACAGTCAAATCTTGCTATCAAATGTTGATAATTCAGTTTTAAGTTTTGAATATAGATACTTAAATAGCAAAACTTAACTGAGCAAAAAGGCATAACTTAACTGAGCAAAAAGGCCACCCACTCGCTGCAGAAGAGTGCTTACCTGGATTAATGAAGATAACCCTCTCTTGCGATAGGGAACTACTTGAAGAATAATGCTGAATTGGTTATAACTGGGTATATATATATATATATATATTTTTTTTTTCAATATATAAATAGGTATAGTGGAGTCCATGTTATGCTTGAGTATTACTATTGACTACAACTAGTAGTAACACAATTACAATCCATATGCAGAAACTCCACAGCTAATAACTGCTACGGTGCTACCAAACCTACTAGTACTAGTTTATATTTTTTATTAAATTTACAATAATACCCCTATGCATGTAAATCTACTTTTTGAACTCCTTGCACATCCACTTCAGAGATGACAGAGTGTCCTTCTTGGCTTTTGATTGGGCAGCTCTCTCTCTCTAGACTGTGTTTAGGGCACTTTTTCTAGCCCCTGCCCCCACAAAACACCATCTAGCCAATGACAACCAAACACCTTTGACCTCTCTTACTATCTTCTTCTACTGTTTTTTTTTTTTTTGGCTCTGTTGATCTCTCTCCCTTCTACAAATTTAGTACGAATTGCTGGCAAATTTGGATTCACTTCTTTAGACTCTTTATTTCTTCCGAAATTTTCTCTGTACTTTCCTTCTTTTCCTTCCTTGTTTTTCTCAGCCCCCAAAGAAAAGGAAGAACAATCTATCCCCACTTTTGATGCTCCAATTCTTTGGACTATCTCTATTTTCACTGTTTTCTTCAATTGGGTTCCTCCATCTTTGAACCATTTTGATTGGTTTTGAAGTGCACTTTATAAAAAGTTCCTTTTCATGGATTTTTTGAGTCTCACTTTTGTGATTTTCATGTCTTCAAGTTTTGTATAAAGGTTACTGCTCCTTTCTTCTTTGAAAATTGATCTGGGTTCTGTTCATTCTTAGTGTTTTGTTCCTTTTTAGATCTGAAACGAGTTAAAGCTGCATCATTCACAAGCAAGATCATCTTTTTCTACTGTTCCTTGAATTTTCCTTGGGTTTTGGAAAGTTGGGTCTTTTCTAGATCCTCCTCATCTCATGCTTATGTCAAAAGTGTTCAGATTCTCTTTATATGCTTCTTGATTTAATTGCCTGCTTGGCCATAGAAGCCTCCACTTCTCTACATTTCCTATATGGCTTCTAATTCAGTGAATTCTAAGGCCTTCTAGCTATGCCCTCCAACTGTACACTGTAATTCTTAAGAAACAATGAATCCAGAAATGGAAGTTATTTATCCAAAATCATATCTTCGGAATTCGAATTGGCTGTTTGAGGAAAGCAAGGGAACAGAATGGACAGCTCAAGAGAACAAGCAGTTTGAGAGAGCTCTGGCCTTATTCGATACGGATACCCCGGAACGATGGCACCATGTTGCATCCATGATACCGGGCAAGACCGTTAGTGATGTGATCAAACAGTACAGGGAATTGGAAGAAGATGTTAGTGATATAGAGGCTGGGCGTATACCTATACCTGGGTACACCCGTAGTTCTTTCACATGTGAGAGTGTGAATGTTCAGGACTTTGATGGGTTGAAAGAATTCTATGGACCTTTCGGTAAGAGAAGTTCATCCACTCGGCCTTCCAATCAAGAAAGAAGAAAAGGTGTGCCATGGACAGAGGAAGAGCACAGGTATGTTGATTTTATTTAAATTTCTGGTCTTTAGGTATCTCAATATATATGTAACAGGGTTATACATTTTAAGTGGTTGTTATTTAGAATCTCACATGCAGTATTGATACAATTAGATTACGTGTATAATGTTAAGGACATAAAATGATCATATTTGAGATAATTAACTGTTTTGAATGGATTCAACAAATTAATATGAATTCTTGCAAGTTGTTACATAGAAGAATGGTGTACAATTGAATTTAAAGAAAGCTTTATTACTTAATGTATTTTTGTCTTGGTAAATATGTAGTTATGTTGATGTTTTAGTTTCCTTGCTTGGTTTGTCATATGGTGTTTTTGATGAAAAAAAACCTCAGGCTGTTTCTGATGGGGCTTGAAAAGTATGGTAAAGGGGACTGGAGAAACATCTCTCGCTATTTCGTTACCAGTAGGACACCAACTCAGGTTGCTAGTCATGCTCAGAAGTACTTCATCAGGCAGCTTTCAGGTGGGAAGGATAAGAGGAGGTCCAGCATCCACGACATCACCACAATCACTTTCACAGACACTAAATCTCCTTCACCCGATCACTCTATCACAATTGAGCAGCCGCAGCAGCATTTGTATACAAATGGCATGGCCAAAGCTCTATATGATAGGAATGCGCCAAAGGAAGGAGTGACTAAGGCTTTCTACCTACCAAATAGCTGCTTGAACATGGCACCTCATCATGGGACTTCTTCATACGGGCTTAGGCTGCAGGAACAACCGATGCACAGAGGTACTCTTCATGGACCTCAGTTTGGATCTTATAATTCAATTTGTCAGATGCAATCCAGACAACCTACATGACTTCATTAATAGAAAGAAGCTAAGTTCTGAAACATGTGAAAGTTCTCTCTCAATTTGGATGTCTCTGTCCATGCTTTATGATGATCCTATGTCAATATCCTATGTGAATTTGTCAATGAAGACCTCAGTTATTTGATAGTGAATAGAACTTAGAATGCATTGTGCTTTTAAGTTGATATTGTGAGATATAAAACCAGAAGGGACAATTACCTAGGTGAAGTGTGAGCTGATTCTTAGGGAATTTGAGGGCAATCAGAAGTAATTTACAGATGGAGCTTGTGTGAATAAGTGAATTAACATGCCATTTGAGCTAAGAGTTTTCTGAAAAACGACCTTGAGCAAAATTGGCTACAACTAGACGGTGGGCAGTCCCGTTTTAGAGAGCTACTCACGTCAAGTAAACCGTGCAGCTTCCAAGTTCACACAGTGGATGAAATTCAGGAATCAGTGAGATAAGTTTATTTTCTAGAATGTTTTAGGCAAGAATGCTTTATATATTCTGTTAGTATATTTGTTCACTGTGAGATTTCATGAATTAATCAAACTAGAATTCCTCTAGAAAATCTTCTGTAGTCCTTTCGTTACTTGGTGAAGTTTGTAAATCATTGTTTCTCATCAACCTTTCAGCAATAAAATAATTTGAGCAGGTGTTTCATTATTTTTTTCTGATTTATGATTTTGTGATGAACTGTAGTTGTAGAGTGGAAAATCTAAGTACCCCATTTGACACAAGGGAATCATTTTCTACTCTTTAAACTCTCCGCAAAATAAAGTGGAAGCAGTTGATTAGGACAAAAGGCCATGTCATTAGAGGCTAACTCCAAATTTTCCAAGTCACAATCCACTCTATGAAATGACATAACTAATACGAACGCTTTTTGAGGATGCCTGTTTTGGTGTAATAGGAATTTTACCCTCCACAACGCTTATTTGACTGAGTTTGATAAGTTAAAGCCGTGACAGATACTCTTAGACAACTTGTGCTTTGTTGTGTCTTCTTTTTCTTTGTTCTCTACTTGAATATGACACCCTCTCTTTCACTTAGTTCTCTTGAATGGGGATGGATACAAGCTGAAGAGGATCCTCCTTGATGTATCAGTCAATTATTAAAATAAAGAAGTAGGAATCCATCTAGAAATATATTCGTCTTTGTTTTTTTCTTTTTGTTTTTGAATTGTGAGTTCACTTATTAGTTAATATCTTGTATTTATTTTTTTGTAAGTTTGTGTTCAATTTTTTCCCTGCCCATTACTACTGGTTCGAAAGATTTGAATTTTCAACAATGTCCATGGTTTAGTGATCTGTTCACCAAATTCCGTACTCTCTGTGACCCTGTTCAGGAAGTAAGAGTATCTAGCTTTGTCATTAACAGGATAATATATAGTTTTTATTTAATATCAATAAAATGGGGTCTAAGATTCTTTTTTTGAGAGGGGAAGCATTAATTTTGACCTTAGATTTCTTAGAAGTAATTCTAAAGCGAGAATCTCCAACCTAATCAAGTGCTAAGCACAACTAATCAAAATCCAATCATTAACTGACAAGACAATCTACCAGTAAAAATCATGTAGGGCTTTAGAATTAAAAAAATCAAATATAAAAACCCTTTGACCTTTTTTCCTAGGGAAAAGAACACTGGCATGTGTTTAACCACCACTAAAGTGCATCTATGTTATATTATTCTATGTCCACCATCCTCCTTCAAGTGTTGGTTTTACATTTGAGCAAAAACTCAAGTGGCTTGCAGTCCCCAAAATGTCAACAGAAAATTGGTTTCATGGTCTCTCCTGTTTCATTATGCACCTTCCCTGTTGTTTGCTAGTTGAGTAATGTCACAGTACCACCATCGGTTTTTTGCGCGATTCCAATTGATAGTGTCCAACAAACATTAGATAAGAATACAAACTCTCTTCTGTTAAGATGTTTATTTCAACGAATGTCACATCAGTAGGTAGTAAAAACCAATAGAGCAAGTTCATCTCTGTCCTTGCTAATTGTTGCACACATCACTGTTGCTGCTGGAACCACCCTGGGAAGCCTAGAGCCCACCAGCATCGCTTGCACAAATTATTTTTGGTCCCACCCACTAGGCAGAATTCAAGACAACATGAACAATATGACTATTCCAATAAACTTTTATGGTAAATGACAAAACTGCCCCACTTTCTTTCTGGAAAGGAGAAGCTTTCTTTCTACAAGTTGCATAGGAAATCATTTGCCTACTTTATTCTAATTTTTGATAAACCCTCCAAGTATATTTAGACCACGTACCATGTCTCACCTACACCTTTGGTGCTGTGTGTGTGTGTGTGTTTTTTTTTTTTTTTTCCCTCCTCTTTGGAATTTTGATTAGCAATATTTTGGATACCTTGCATCAGAGTGATTTATATATACATATATTTACATCACTGGTGCTTGAAAATAAGCTTCAACTCCACAATAGTAGAAAAGAAAACTAAAAAGAGAAAAGGTTCAATGAGTGGCTCATGTGGAAATTGGTTATATTTCTTTATAGTGCTTCTTTGTGGTACTAATGGATCCCAAGTGGGAGCTTTTGATACATATCAAAGAAATGGAACAAAAGTGGACCGAAAGAAGAAGACGTGTTATATATCATCTTGAATTTTTGAACTTGAAGATGCAATGAACAAACTATCTCAATTTGGAAAAATAAGTCTTTATACTTCAAAATATCTCAATCGTTTTTTCCTCTTTTTTCATTCTATTTATAGACTTTTACAATTGTTCTTGAAGCTTCTTCTTCAGACCTCCATGTGGGACCGATCATTTGGGCTCCTCTTGGACATCGGCCTATTTCCTTTACTTTGAGATTGGGTTTGAGGATTGTCTCAGTAGATACTGGGCCTGATGGGTGGTCATCTGATCTGGTCAAGTGTTCTTTTCAGATACAATCTTTAGTAATACGGGTTGTACCCGGCCCAGGCCATTTTTGGAATCTTCATTTGCCCCCATAATCTCTCCCTAATTGATTAGGGTAAGATTATCGAAGAGACTTAATAATGACATGATTGCTCGAGGCAGTGACGTGGGGAAACGATTGGCTGGTTCAGAGGCTCATGTTTCAAAATGTGAAATATCATCATTGCCATGACTCTCTGGTTATTAAGTCACTTCCTCTTTAAAACCCCTAACTTCCAATCTTTTGCCTTTCTTCTATCTTTCTTATCTTTATCTTCGAGCATCATCTCCTTAAATCGTTTCCGTCAATAACCAGTCTTCTCCGATGAGTTCTCCCTTTGCGATTCTTCATCTTTCACTTTGCTGCGGTGTACTCTGCAGGTCTTCTTTCTAAGGTTAGTCTCAATCTCTTGTTATTTTTCGAGGATTTTGCTCTTTACTACTTTCTTCTTCTTTTTTTTTTTTTTTTTTTTTTTTTTTTTTTTTTTTTTTTTTTTGTTTTAAAAGAAAAAGAAAAAGAAAAATTTGAGAGTTTCCTCCGCCATTACAATGGCTCCTGACTTAGAAACTCTTCATTTGAAGAACGAAATTCCCAACGTGGTTTCCATTAGGATCTATCCCGAGGGCTTGGATGAGAGAACCGGTGAGGGTCTTCTTCCCTGAGAGACCTTCTTATCTCTTCTTCATTTAAATGTAATTAGATTCCCTTTGCATCTGTTCTTCTGTTATATCTTTAATAAATTAGGGCTTTCCACTGATCTTCTTGCCAAGTTCTTGAACTAGTTGAGTGCCGGTCTAGTTAGGCTCGTAGGAAAAACTTTGCACATTAGAGAATCATTTTCTATATTCAGAGCCATTTTCAACTGAATATGATAGACGTGTTCAATCGGATCACTTGTTCCATCGAACAAAGTAAAAACTAACATGGAGAATTTTCTTGGATTTGGAGCATTTAAGATTTCATTTATAAAAGGTGAATTGACAGTTCGAGCCGCCGTGCGGAGGGCTTCATTTTCCTTCGGGATTATCTCTTGTTCAACAGATCTCTTGCCTGAACTCCTATAGTCATACGTGGCCATTGACGGACGGTAGAGTGGATCGAATGACCTTTCCTCAGTTAACTCCCTCTACTACGATGGCGTAGCCTTATTGCGACCGAATTCCATGGCTTCTTCTCGCCTGATCCTTTCGCGATGCGGATCGAACTCCATGGCTTCTTCTCGCCTGATCCTTTCGCGATGCGGATCTAGATGGACAGATCTTTCCTGATCTTCGATAATGGACATTCGGTGGATCCAGGTGAACGTTTTCTCTTGTTCGCCCTAGTGAGCAACATTTGGCGGCATAATTCTTTCTCCTGCTGAAGGCTGTCGTGGAATTGCCGGAGCATCTCATCGTACCATTCTGGCTCTCAATTCCGCATTTTCTCTTCTTAGATCCTCAATCATGCTCATCAATTCGTCAAGCTTTGCATGTTGTTAATTTTCTTGTGGATAAGAACTCTCACCTCCTATCATCGTTCCTGATCGGAGCATAGTTACAACTGAAAGATCTTAATCAGATTCGAACTCTACTACCGTGAATGTACCAGATCTGGCTTTTGCCTGGCTGAATGCCAACCTCCGTCAGCTAGATCTGAATCTTTTTCACCGTGAACTCGTCGGATTTGGCCTTCGTCAATCAGGATCAAACCTCTGCAAAACAGATCACGATCTTCTCAGGTCTGAGTCCGATTTCCAAAAATCAAGCTTCAATTTCGCAGATCAATCCTGATCCTCCGAAAGAATGATCAATCTGCTTGCAGCGTACTTAAGGATCAACTGGATCTTTCCTTTGCTTCCCACAGACGGCGCCATTGAAGATGCAATGAACAAACTATCTCAATTTGGAAAGATAAGTCTTTACACTTCAAAATATCTCAATCGCTTTTCCTTCTCTTTTTATTCTATTTATAGACTTTTACAATTGTTCTAGAAGCTTTTTCTTCATACCTCCATGTGGGACCGATCCTTTGGGCTCTTCTTGGACATCGGCTTATTTCCTTTGCTTTGAGATTGGGCTTGAGGATTGTCTCAGTGGATACTGGGTCTGATGGGTGGTCATCCAATCGGGTCAAGTGTTCTTTCCAGATACAATCTTTAGTAATACGGGTCGTACCCGGCCTAGGCCATTTTCGGTATCTTCAGAACCTATGCAAGAGAAAGAATTATATAACTTCTTCAGTAAACAATAACAAATTCATGCACAAAGAAATTCATTCCTTATCAATTTCTTCCCTTAACTGTTGAGGTTAATTTAGAAACTTATTTTGATGTAAGCAAGCATGAAAACTACTGAGATCTTTGGAGGCCATTGATGAGCAGAAGTGACTTCAGATAAATACCCAAATTGATTAATTTGCAGATTAAGAAATATATTTTTACTTACAATTATAATTAGCAATGAGGACGATTTCTTGCAGGAAGCAAGGTGGATATAACTAGGATTTTGCAGCTGAAGAATGTGTAGAAAAAGAGCCTCTACAAGTTGCGAACCTGTTGTTATACAGAAGACATGACAACTAAACTCTGAACTTCGTAGCTCAGTTCAACAAATCGTGACACTTAATATTGGCTTTAGAATTTCCACATAACTAAGTAAATTATTGACAATTTAGCTTAGTTTTATAATATGTTTCATGCCAAGAATTGCCTAATAAGTCAACTATTCAAACGCGGCAACTTTGGCCTATAAGTTAGG